TCAATGCCACAAGAAGTCTAGGTCTGCACTATATTTGCATGCATTAGTTTCTAATGACTCAGCTAATAGTGTTGCTATTTTTAACTCATATTTGTATTTTTATGGTAAACTCCAGATAGTTGTTAAAATTGTTCTTTCTTTGTATCAGGATAATTTTCGATTTCAATGTCTGCTGTGTGTCATGCACATATGTTTGTGCTAAGATTCTGTGCTCATTTGATCTAACTTAGAGGAAGGTATTAAAGGTGATGCACAGGGTCAAGCAGCTCGATTCCCCTCCCTTTTCAAGTCAGATTCCACCTTGAGCTAACTAAGAGGGTGATTATTGATTAATCGCTATACATTAATGAGCTGAATTGATCTGAAAAGAGGGCAGCAGTGCAGATCACTGATGGTGGGAGAGTTTTTTTCATTGGTCAGGCCAGCACTTGAAGGGGTCTCTTGTATAGCAGGGGACCATACAGAACACCTAGAGGAGGATGATGAAGAGAGGACAGGCAGGTAGAATCAGGCAGTTTCTGTGGTTTGTCATGGAGCTTTGTGCCAGCCACATGTATAAGCAGCAGGGTTTTATGTCCGTCCCTATCATTTCAGTAGCCCGTTGCTTTACGGCAGTAGTAAATATAGCTTATGTCTGCTGGTGTGATGCTAATATGACAGCTCTTAAAAAAACACAGCTGGTAGAGAATCTACAGAATCCTGTGATAGTTGTGCTGTGTGGAAAAAAAATATGAATGTATTTTCTGGTAACTGTTCTGCAAATGACAAACTATCATGTGCACTTGTTACAAAATGTAAGCACTTGTGTTGCATAAATGTGAAAGCATAATCTCTAATCTCTAAGCCTTTTTCAAACCCAAAGAAATTTTTAAATTATATATACAGTAAATGTCTGGTAAATGTCTGGTCTTTCAGACAATACATTATCAAGGTCAGTATCTTAAATTAGGCAGATTTTTCTTACTTCCCTCACAATTTGAACTACATGAAAAGAATAACACTTGCTACCTGTGATTAAAGTGTGGCAAGTGTTACTTTCTTTGCCTCTGGGTGGCAACATTAATGGATGCATTTCTACAGGTCTAGCAGGTTGGCATACATATGTAATGTATGTATGTAACATGTCTGACATTTATCAGTTAGTCCCCCCCCCCATGGAGAAGCTGCTAAATGTGAATAAGGATTTGAGTTTGTGATGGCATCTGTATTTGTTAAATAAGTTTTAGCTGGCACTGGTTCTTAAATCAATTTCACCAATAACTATTAACTTACTTGTAAACCTTTAACATCACCGCTAACCTTACCATTGACAGCCATGGACAGAGCTTCCAGGTCTGAGAAGTGAGGCCAACACAAAAGTAATGGCCAGCAGGGGGCAGCTCCATTGGTAGCAAAAAGATCTGTGCTTGTATTCAGTTCCACTGTAAATAGCCCGACTCCTCACTTGATTTATTATCTCAGTAAACAGAGTTTATAGTCTCAAATGCTTCAATTCCCCTTTTAAACAGCCTGATGTTCATTTTGTAAATTATTATGAAATCAGTAAAATAGACAATAAAGTAGGGTATCCTTTAGTGCATGGCTACCCTGTGATAGACATGTCATTCTCAGCAAGTCCGCCCAGAACCCCGCACATAACTATGCAGTCCTGATCAAATATGAATCAAGATCCTGTTACTGCATTGCCTATTTCTCGCCTAAATTCTTTTTTTAAAGCATACTTTAGTGTACTAAAGTTTTCAAAAGGGTACTCCACAAACCAATGAGTGACATCATGGTAGGTTCACACCTTACCTATCCAAGTAACCAGTTTTTAGCCGTGCCAGTGGTATGGCTCTACTGTCCACCACTTTGGTCCAAACTGAAATAAACAACTATTGGATACATTTCGATGTAATTTTGTACATTCGTTCATGGTCTTCAGAGGGTGAATCCTAATGACATTAATTATCTTCCGACTTGTCCTATAGGGAGAGGCTCCTCACTGTAAACTGAAAGTCACATGGGGCTACATGTCCCAAAAAGCTGAAATAACCTTGGTCATAGGGAGTAGATTCATAGTTCATTCATAGTAAAATTACCATTATTTTTTTTGTAAATTTTTATTGTCAACTTTTTATGCCAGAGCCTGAAGTCTGTACAGCCTCAACAGACTTCCTGACAAACACACACAGATGTTTTATGCTGAGGCAGTTAACGTTTTTGTATAAGTGATATGTGTGCAATGTGCGCCTCTATAAGGCAATGTTGGTCTTTCTGTTGATGCACAATTTGGAACTACGAGATAGATTTCCATGGAATTATGTTTAGACATTCCCGGTAAACCTAGCACCACCAACAGGCTGACATTTTATACTATACCTTGGTTGATCATCAAATACCTTCTAAACTAATTACATTCCCATCAACCTTGGCTGTTCCTCTTGTTTATTGCTAATTAGCTAATGTTAGCATGTTCACATGCTAAGCTGAGATGAGAACCACGGTTATACCTATTACCATATCGACATTGCCATGCTCCCATACATTTGGCATTTCGTATAGACTCACAGAGATGCTAACATGGCTGTAGTTAGTATAATAGATCCTTTTCATTCATGTGCACAATCAGTCCCTTTGCCACTGCAACACCAGACAAACATCTGGTATTATTATGTAAACAACTTATAGCAAATTTCATAAGAAACAGGGATTGTCCAGGCTACACAGAACAGCTGCAAAATAATGGTTCCAATAAATTTTTTCTAAGAACTACAGCTGTATAATTACAGTGTGTTATGTCACTGTTATGTCACATTTGCAAAGTATGAAAATTGGGGCGTTTTGTTAGCAACACAGACGCATGAGAAGCTGTTCCCCTGACAGAAGGAATTAAATGTATTGAATCAGTACCAACAACTCTTTATATGTCCATCATCTAAAAATACCACAGATGCCTTGAAATAAGCAAGATTTATTTCATCCACAGATTAATTTCAGGTGATCCGAATTTGAAGCTTTCTGCATTTTTTTTTTTTTTTTACAATAAATACTGGGCAGTATCTTATCTACAGCACATCAGTCTTTTGGACTTCAAAGTTTTTGAATTACAATGCTGTTTGAAGCAGGAGTAGACATGTGAACAGAGTGGTGCAGAATGAAATGAAAGTCCTCATCAAGCACAAAGCTCTGCTCATCACTCATCATTCTCACGTTCAATCTGCTTAGATGCAGTCTTTAGCTCCGGGGGGTAAAAAAACACTCTAAATTCACTGTTTCTTCCCCAATCAGCCATGAAAGTATGTGGCCTCTTTATGAAGGATGTTTGTTCAGCGACATTCCTGTAATATGCATAATTTAACCTAAGCATACTACACTTACTAATTGTGCATGAATAAGGCAAAACATTTCTCAGTCATGGATTAAATAATTCAGCAGTCTACCAGTCACACAAGGAGAAAAGCATACTGCACAAATAAATAAAGAAATTACATTATTCTGTACCCTGACTTAATGCAGTAGTTCATTTAGAAAAAAAGCAATTATTGAACAAAAACTACACAGGGGTTTACATATTAAGATCTTAAACTAAAACGCTTACTTACCATTAAATGTTAAACATAGCAAGACATTGTATAATTTATGAACGTGAATATGTAACAAGAATATAACAACACACACTGCACCCAAAAACACAACAACAAGGAGATTGTATACTTTAAAATGTACTAATTTGTGTTGTGGCACATTTTCCTTTTCCATTGACACGTTGAACATTGGTAAGAGAGAAGGTAGTTGGCAACACATCACATAATTCTCCATTCAGAGTGTCAGTGTTAAAGTTCTGCTTTCAAAGAGAAACTGACAGAGATACCCAGCACAGGAAACCAAATGTTTGTGATAAAAATCACAGAAATGTTATTATTCCAATCAGAAATTTGACATACTCACAAAAATGACCAAACAGTACTCAAACAAGGAGTTGATTCATCCAAGCAACATCCATTAAATTAGATGTTATGTAAAACTGTTCAATTTGTCCAAATAAAAATCTCAATGGACCGATGGATTTTCCCCTTCCAACCACATTTTGTGCTTGTGCGAGTGTGTTGCTTGGTTGTGTGTCACTCACTGGATGCTGCTTAGATTCAATAAATACATTCAAAAGAGAAATCTTAACTTCTACACAAACTAGTCAGCATGACAGTAAGATTGTGTCTGTTAAAGTTTGCTCACTAATCATTTTCACCAAACTCTTTGTTGTGCAAGTGTATGCAGTCATACTGTGTACTGCATTGCCACAATCTGCAAATGTGCAAAGAGAGAGTACTTATAGGTGCATAACAGGGGTAGGTTTTAGCTAATTTCACAATTTATTGTTCCTGCAGGCCAATGCATAATTATATGTCTGGGAATGCAAAAGCTCCATTAGGAGTATGGAAAGTAATTTCAGCTGAGTTTTGCATTTATACAACAGCTTGTTTTATTTTTTACTTTGCAGAGCTGAGTGCAGCCGCTACCTTTTTGGTGAATGTGTCAAACAGGTGAAGCTGTGAGATGTGGCTACTCTGAAAACAGGTTCTGTGATGGCAACAGATATTAAGTTGATATCTGTGAATCCATAGTTAAACAGTGCATAAACACTAGCTGTCATGCAGAGTGATTCATTGTTCCTAATGGAAAAGTATTTTGATACAACGCTGCAAAAGAGAACTGAACGATATGAATCAGCACTCTGGCAGCTTTTGATCAACTAAATAAACCCGTGGGACTCTACACTGTAAAAAACATTAGGTAAACTTGATTATGACAACAAATTTTTATTAATAATTTAATAATATAGATTAATTTGATGTGATTAATTTTAAGACTGTAAAAGTAATTTAGTAATTACCACTTTCAGTTATTTCATAAAAATGGTGCAGACATTTGTTCAGCTTTTATTTCTAGCCAAATATCCCAACAACATGAGCTAGAAAAGAAACAAGCAGGGAAAGATGAAAGCGATAGCAGTGACTCACCCGGTCTTTTCTCGTTTCGACCTTTTCGACCCCCGCATAGTCGTACTTTAGAGATCAGAACCAGGATCTGTTTCTGGCACAAGGACTTGTTGCTCTTAGGACAGGGCTTGCGCTTGTTGGCTACCGGTCGGTTGGCTTGGTCGTCCTTGACCGCCCGTTTCTGTCTGATGAGAGAGCTGGCGAGAGCTGCCATCTTCCCCCCCTCTCACCTTTGGGAGGGGGGTGTCTTCTTTCCCAGTACCCCCTTTACTAGTTTGGCTTTTGCTTTCCTCAAAAAACTAGAGTAGGACGGACGATTTAGAGAAGCCCCCACAGGGGAGATCGGGCGTTTAAGTGGGTTAACAGGGAAGAGTTTAGTTTGAGGGTTCCCTTGTGGAGGCAGGAACAGGAAGAGATTCAAGTTCACCTGCAGTCCAATGTAAAGCCTCCACTCTGACCAAAAAAAAAATCTGACACTAACAGAGCATGCAAAAAAGTGCCACAGTCACATTTTCAGTTTCAAAAATAACAGAAAGACCAAGGTTAGACTGACTTTTAAAAAAGGTGAAATGGAGACATTTTTCTACCCCTCTTCCCCACTCATCTTTCACATCAAAAGTATTATATTGCAAAATAACTAACCTAGACAATACCAAAGAGAAGGAGCTCAAATTATTTTACATATAAAAACACTTTTACTGAAGAAAAGTGAAATCATTTTGAATGCTAGGAAGCTCTTAAAAGCACGAGAAAAAACAAACTGTTTGTCACCATTTGTGTAGTCCATGGAGGTCCAACTTTGCCTCCCATTTAAATGTGGCAGCATGGAATAATGAGCTGAGAGTCCGAGCGGTAATCCAGCCGACTTAAATCCAGAGGTAGAACAGCAGGCAGGACACTGACCGTCTTTGTGGGAATGAAGCCGGGAACAGAGCAGAGACATGGACACAGACAGACAGAGATTCCTCTTCTGCCTCCGATGGCACACTCCTTTCCCACAGTCCTCAACGAACCCCCTCCTCCACCTCCCCTTGCCCCCCCTCCCCTTCCTCCTCCTCCTCCCATCCAAAGTCAGCGAGTGGTTGTGAGAGTATGTGTGCGTGAATTCCAGCAGCCACCATCAGTAGAGGTGACATTCATGAGAGAGAGGGAGAGAGAGAGGGATAGCAAAAAGAGCGAGGGAGACAGAAGGGGGGGGTAGAGGCTGTGATGTGTGAGAATGAGCTTGACTGTGAAAGGGAGGGAAAATGTGGGAGAGAGACGGGCAACAGCCACTTGACAAAATCACCGCTCGCAGAGGCTACAATTTTGTTATTTTACAGCAACGTCTCCCCTAAAAAAAAAACCTCAATCATTTTGACTGCCGGCTGAAACCAAAGAGTGCCAGAGGGGCAAAGAGGGAGAGAGAGAGAGTGCTTAAGGGGCAGATTGTGACAGTTCTCTGTCTCCTCGAGAGGAATAGCTTCACCATGTGTTACCTTCCTGTCACATGCATCCACACACACACAAACACACCTCAAACACACACACATAAAGTACATCAGCATATTTTGTAGAGTCTTCCCCTGCTGTATAATTGTGTCTTCTTCATCTTCCTCCCTGACACCCTCTCATACAGTAGTAACCTTCACAGTCTCACTGTGATTTGTTCCATTCAGCCCTACATGTGAAATGGAGGAAAATAAATACATACAAATAAAATGACTTTGTTCCCTGAAACTGGCATTTAGTGTCTGACATATCTGACTGCTGGCTTACGCTAACCCCAACAGAGAAACATGAGCTTGGACAGATTGAGTTAGACAGCTAACCCTGCCAATACACACACAAACACACTCACAACTACACACTCAAACTCATATCACCCTTGCTCTCCCTCGGCTTGCCCCACCGGCGAGAAATACCCATACAAAAACAACAAACTATGGCATATATTGCGGATCGTGTTCATACAGCTCCCTCATTTGTTCTACCCCCATTTATTCGTGGGCTGACCTAAGAAATTTCTCCACTAATTTAGGACAAAACAGACTTCCGCAAGTATCAGTAAAGCACACAAATCACGCTGACATACATTTGCACAAGATAGCGGGTTGCGGTAAATGACAATGCCCCCCAGTCAAACATTTCTCATCTTGTTGAGTTGCAACAAAAACGAGGTTTTTGCTTACCATTTTCATTCTGCAAAACAAAGACAACCGGATTTAAGACAAACAGTATGCTTGAGTAATGGGACCCCAAGAAAGTCTCTTCAAACATTTATAGGAATTTCTATAAAATGCAATTCTCACAGGATGTTAGGTATATATAATGTGGAGTGCTATAATCATGTATAAATTGTTCACTGATGCATGCATCAGCTTGATAAATCAGGGTCATCAAGTGAAAAGCTCATTCACTGTCAAAAATATCATCATTATATCATTGTGCACAGTCAATTTGTAGACCAACCGAATATAAAAACACTATGAGCATTTCTGGTCCGGACCCTTGCCCAATAAATCAACTTATCTGAGAGCCAATCAATCTAATTTTATTTGGCATGGCACCTTTTTTACAAGCCAATTGCCAGGGAAACCAGCAGCAGAAGCAACTTGAAAATGCAAGGTCGATTCAAATCGTTTCTAACAATGCCGAGCAAGGTCACTGTCTGTCAGGGCTTGATTGACAGGTGACAGCGGGTGTTTGGTCTCCACGGAGGCACGAGGGCATAGTGGGGGCGGAGGACAGGGAACCACAGATGAGATAATGCAGTTTGTATTGACAAGGAACCAGAAAATATATTTTTCCTTGTTTCTAAGGATTTGTTCCCCCCTGCATTCTCCAACCATCCTCGGCTACACACTGGTCTTCTTACTCTCAGTTAAGAATCAATCTTCTAATGGGCGTCACTTTGCACACATTGCCAAAGGTTGCTTCCTCCAATCACAAAGAACATGCCAAGTTACACCAAACGAAAGCTAAGTGGGGATTCTTGGGACAAGGTTAAGAAGGGTGTCTGTCATTATAATGAAATTTCTTGCCAAAATCTAAGTGGACTCATAAACAGTGAAGGCACTTTTCATGTCTTCCCAAGAGCTATTTCCTGTATGAACACACCCCAACTAACAACTAAACACCCATTATGTCAGGACTCAATGTTACTGCCATTAGTTATCTCCAGTCTATTACCATATAAATGTTAGTCTTTTGTCTTGTTCAAATATGATTTGTCCACCTAGCTAATTTTTCAACAAGGTTCTTAATCTCACATTTTATCCCATTTGGGATTTACTGCCTCAGCCCTGGTGTCATCATGGAACGCTCTTTGGGAAAGTGGAGGGAAATAAAGATCTGCTTAAAATTAAAATGAAAGTAAGACAATTAAAAATAGCAAATAAGCATTCTGTCACGTGTCCAGATACAAGTTCTCATCAGCGGAATAATGCACAAAAGGAGATTAAATGCAGATTTTTTGCTAAAAACAATCCATGCCACAATCCCTGCATGCGTATACATTTACATGGAAGCCGAGGGTATTAACAGCATATCCTCTTTGAAAGTGCTTTATGTTGAAATGTTTTCACCCAGTATAATGGCTCCCAGGCTTTAATGCATTCCATGTTACCTAAGTATAATCTTTACTAGATTGGATGAGTAGATTTCTATATACATAAGAGTTTGAAAATGTGGTGTTTCTGCTTGAGGGATACTGCATTCTGTATCCATCCCAGTGGTGGAACATAGCCAAGCACATTTATTTAGGTACTGTACTCAAGTACCCTACTCAACTCTACTCTATGAGTATTTCCACTTTTTATATATATATATATATACATATTTTCTTAATCGACTTCTTACTACGAGCGATGGAGTCCTACATGAACACAAAATAGTCAACCAACAAAAGTTTGTCTTTTTTTTTTGTCTTTGCTTTTCTCTCTGGTTTAAATTGGGCGAGACTCATTTGGAAGAAGGGGATGTCACAAGCTTCTGGATCTAGCAACATTTGAGTCAAAATACAGTTATGACAGCTATTGGCTTGCTCGCTAATGTCGGCAGTCCGCTGTCAATCACATCTGGTCAAAACACACCCACACAGTCCTGATGAAGCAGATTAGCTGAGCTTTTGAGTGTTTAATACCCATGGATGTTTTTCAAACTTTAATACTGATGGTTGTGTAATCAACCATGGATATGTAATGTTATTATGAAAAATGAATGAGTGGAAACCAAGTTTACAGGGGCTTTAAAGATAAAACCAGTGGTTCCTGACCTTTTCACCTTGTGACCTCTTACAGAAGTTGTGACCCTTTGGAGGGAGTGTGGAACCAGTCAGGTAGTTAAACTAGCTCCACCTTGAGCATCTAGGACAGTAAACTGCTACTTACGCAACAATATAATCATGTATTATATAATACCCTATCACTTTTTCTGCAGTATGAGTACCTCTTCTGTACTTTTAGTGCATTCTTCTGGTAATCCTGCAAGCCTAAGAAATGTGATGATTTACTGGTTTTGTTAGTGGTGGGCAAATCAGTTTTTTTTTACTGAATTATAAGAATCTTTTATTTTTTAAGAATAAAAAGATTTATTTCAAACATTAGTTTTCCCGCTTGACTGGAGCTCCAATCCGTTAACTAAAGTGAAACATGGTCAAATGTTCAGCTTAGCTCGCTAACTAGTGAACTGAGAACGGCCGTCTGTGAAGGATAAGCCGGTGAGCTGAGAATTTAGCTGAACGAAAATACCGTTTGCAAACTGAAAGCTGCTATAACAAAGTCCTACCCTATTATGCATAGCACATATATTTTCATGACACCTAGTTATTAAATAAAATATTTGGTTCTACTTCAGACTTTAAGACATGAGGGAGAGGGAGAGGGAGAGGGGTGGACTGAGCGACTGTCTCCCTGTATCCCTGCATGACTGTGAAATGAACAAAATTTTTCAGTTCAGCTCATTCACGCAAAAGATTTGTCATTTCAAATGTATCGTTTGCAGATGACACACCACTATTGTCTGTTTTACGTGATAGTTAATTGAATATTACTGAGGTTTTTTTTTGGGGGGGGGGGGGCAAAACAAGCAATTTCAAGACATCACCTTGGGCTCCTTTCAATTTTAATGCCTATTTCTTTGCGGTGGTCTTTTATTCAGTAAACAATCAAGTCATCAATGGATGAACATGATTAATAAAGTACACAATAACTTGATTAATAAAAAACAAAAAAAGACAGATCAATCAATGATGAAAATTATCATTAGTTTCAGTCCTATAAACAAAAACAAAAGTCCCAAAATGAAATCACTGCAGGCAGTTATGTCGGCAGTATGGTGTCCTGGAGCATGTTGGTCCAGAGTACTAATGCAGCTTTACTGAATAGAGTTCAGACAGGCAGTCACGTTTATGTAAACACACTGATGATGCGCACACAAACACATGCACGCACACACACACACACACACACACACACACACACACACACACACACACACAAAGCCAGAAAGAGTTAAGCACATCAAAACAATTGGCCTAGTTCTGTCTCCGTCTCCCTCCTCCCTTTATCACTCTCTCTCTCCTTCAGTCCCCTCTCAGCTCATCACGCTGTCCACAGATGACAGGAGGTATTCTTCGTTAATCCTCCTCCATTATGTGACCATGTGGAATCTGAGGCCTGCCTCTTGCATACAGAAATAATATTTCCAATGTCCATGACCCATGGGTGAGTTGCTCATTAACTTTGAGCAGCACATATCATTCTCAGTTTCATTCTTTATTTAGCCCTGTTCAGATCAGTCTCTGGAAATTAGGTTTTAATCGTGAGAATTACTCGGTGTGTGAGACAGATGTAGATCACCCCCCGTATACAACTGCTTCTGATTTTGTCTTGCTGTATGTCTGAAATGTTTCACTTTTAATTATTATTATTTCCAATATTGGGTTTTCCAAATAAATGTATTACTCCATATTAGGAGTGTAAGAAAATATTGAAAAATATGTTGTTTTTCTTAAAAAAAAAA